TTGTTTACCATAACAAATATGCTGTCACCCTTAATTTTGTTCCTCTGAATATATTTAATCTTTTATTTCTCTGGCTACTTCTAAGATTTCCTCTTCATCCAAGATTTTCAGCAATGTTATTATGATCTTTGTTATTATGATGTTTTGGTGTTATCTTCGTGTTTCTGTGTGTTTCTTATCTTTGTGCCACCCAGGCACCCCTTCTTAAGCACTTTGAAGATGTTGCTCTACTATCATCTCAGTTGTTTACCATAACAAATATGCTGTCACCCTTAATTTTGTTCCTCTGAATATATTTAATCTTTTATTTCTCTGGCTACTTCTAAGATTTCCTCTTCATCCAAGATTTTCAGCAATGTTATTATGATCAATGTTATTATGATGTTTTGGTGTTATCTTCGTGTTTCTTGAACTGGAGATTCATTGAGCTTCTTGGATCTATCTACAGAGTTTATCATTTGGGTCAGAAGCAGAAATGATCTTTTCTTAGGACTCTTCATAAACATAGAATTGTGGCTCAACAGATTTGAAAATTTAAATTTTGGTGGATCTTGCCAATTTATTGTTCATAAAATGTCAACCAGCTTACATTTCCACCAGTAGACAGTTTGATATTCTTTTTCATTATTGTCAATCTAAATGGTTTTTAAAAGTGCTGATTTTTTAATTTGCATTTCTTTGGTTACCTATGGAATCAAACCTTTGTTCATGTTAGTTGATCATGTGTTCTTATTTTTCTTCATCAATTTGTTTCGTCATTTTAGCTCCTGCTGTGAACCAGGAAACATTCTATATGCTAGGAATACTGCAATTATCAAGAGCCAGGGGGCTCTCGTCGCAGGGAGCTGGCCTTCAAATGGGAGTGGGAGAAGGAAAACACACACACACACACACACACACACACACAATTTCAGATGGTGATACAATCTATAAAAGACTAAGATGAGGGACACCTGGGTGTCTCAGTCGGTTAAGCGTCTGCCTTCTGCTCAGGTCATGATCCCAGGGTCCCATCTGGTTCCTTGCTAAGCAGGGAGTCTGCTTTCCCTCTGCCTGACATGCCCCCTGCTTGTGCTCTCTCTCTCTCTCTCTTATAAATAAATAAATAAAATCTTTAAAA